TGTGCTCCATAGGGTTTTCATGGCCTGGGTGGTGCAAATGATTTGTGCTTCACTACTAACCTAACGGCTCGTGGTTCAAACCCACCCAGCAGCGCCATGAAAGAAAATCCTGGAGATCTGCTTCCCTGAAGATTACAGCCAAGAAAATTCTATGGAACAGTTCTACTTTGTAACACATGAGGTTGCGATCATTCACAATCAACTCCACAGCAACAGGGTTTTTTTTTGTAGGCGATATGGTGTGGTGATTAAGGGCATGAACCCTGAAGTCAGACCATCCACGTTCAAACCTCAGCTCTGCCCCTTAACAGCTGAATAAAACTTGGGCAAGGTATCCTCTGCTCCTTCATCTATAAAATGGCAACAGCAGTATCTACTTCTGAGTTGTGGTAATAAAATGCAGATAACACATGGCAACAACAATGCATCATGAAAACAGTGCCTAGTACACAGTAAGCAATAAATAAAGATCTGCAAAACTAGATTACACTCCTTCCCCCCTCCTACTACACCATATACCAGTTGCCATCCACTCCAATTCATGGCGACCCTATGTGTGTCATATTAGAACTGTGCTCCATAAGGCTTTGATGCTGATTTTTCAGAAGCAGATCACAGGCTTTTTTCCTTGGGACCCTTGGGTAGACTCTAATCTCCAACCTTTTGTTAGCAGCCCAGCACACTTAACCCAGGAACTCCCTCCACTCCTACTACCTATGAGGAAAAGAAGGCCCAGAAAGGATATGAAAACAAAAATTAACTAGCTTTACCACCTGTTAATTACTGCAAAGCTAAGTGACCAGATGACAGAAATGATAAGCAGGAGATAAGTCACACTTCTAAAACTTAAAATACGTACTGGCTCTCTCTAAAACAATATAGTTCTTGGTTTCAAGCTAGATAAATAGAATTCTCTACTTCCCATCCCTAAAATACCAGGGGTAAGAACAATAGGTATCTATTTGCATCTCTGAGGCCCCTCTGACCAGGAAACACCCAGTTCACAGCTAGACTATTAACCTGTAAAGGAATGATCCCCTCAGGGCATTTCCAAGGACTACAGAAAACACTCCACTGAACCAAACCCATTGCCCTCGAGTTGATTCTGACTCCTAGAGACCCTACAGGACAGAGCAGAACTGCCCCATAGTTTCCAAGGAGCGACTGGTAGTTCCAAACTGCCGACCTTTTGGTTAGCAGCCGTAGCTCTTAACCACTATGCCACCAGGGTTGAAAGGGGGTTAAATTCCCTGGGTGGCACAAACTATTAAGTGCTGACTACTAATAGAAAGGTTGATGGTTCAAATCTGCATCCCCCAGCAGAGCTGCAGAAAAAAGGCCTGGTGAAACGTTTACATAAGATTACAGCCAAGTAAACCCCATGGAGCTGCAATTCTACTCTGAAGCACAAGGGGTCGCTGTCAATCGGAATAGACTCTATGGGAGCTGGTTTTTCTTTCCATTGCCCCAGAAGGTGGTGGTTAAGGTCAAGACACAAAGACTCTCTCCTAGTAGGGAACTGAGTGCACAGAAGCTTAGTGCAGAAAGGGTTAAAGGAATCTGCCCTTCACAGAAGGTTTTAAGGAACCTTGGTGGTGCGGTGGTTAAGCTAACCAAAAAGTCTGAGATTCGAACCCACCATCTGCTCTGTGGGAGAACGTGTGGCAGACCCGTAAAAATAACAGCCTTGGAAACCCTACAGGCAATTCTACCCTGTCCTGTATGGTCGCTACTAGTCAGAATCGACTGAGCAATCGGTTCGGTACCGGAGGGGAGGTTTTATTTTATAATGATTCTGCTAAAATGGAAACACGCAGAAGCATGCTTGTAAATCTGATTTTCAGTCTCTTGCCTGAAACAAAGGAACAAAACCTATAAAGAACTTTTAGCAGTGCTGGGTTAACTATGGCAATAATTAACATTTAATGGGACTGTAATTTCATCAACTATTTTCATACTGATTCTTGATTAAATTCTATCGAAAACCTACAATGTAAAATACAGTTAAAGCTGTGAGAGCTGGCACTTGACAGGACTGCCTTGTTTTTCTGGTCTGGCAAGTGTTCCACCTTTGACATGCTGCAGTCTTACCACTTCCTTCTCTGACAGGTTTCTACCTTACACAGGTTCCAGCTTTCACAGGTTTTACTGTAATAGAGTTTGACCCATAAACCAAATTTTTCAAATTTTGTAGAAAATATTTACCAAGCCAAGATTTTAGTGACACGAGAAAGCTGTGCTCGTTAATTCTCTTGCAATATCTGACCAGTTTACTTTGCTGTCAAATGATTCTCTAGTTGTGGAATCAGCTCCTCATTTGACAGTAACTTCTAAGCATAAGATTTGCCCCCTCCCCACCCAATAATGCCTTGTTTTTTATTGTTAAATGTATACCAAGTTTACTGTATTTCTATAATACTCAATCTTTAGTTATCACTAGACAATAAGATTAGTCATATAACTTAGTGAGTCAGCTACATAATCTGAGTTGGTAATCTCTCCAAAACGTCTTATGGCCTTATTTCCTTTCCCTTTTTATTATTTTTAAACCTATTTCTCTCTCCCACCACTAAGTACAGCAAAAGAAAAATCAAAGAACACGTCTAGGGAAAAAAATCCTCAATGACCCAACCAAACATTATTTTAGAAGAAGCTACATGTATTTTACTAACCTTGTTTGGAAGTTACTGTTAAAGCCCAATTTAGTTTCTCCCATCCAAAACCAAACTCTGAGTTTCCCCTATAGAGCTAAGTAATTTACCTGAGCATGGTTCATCACTTCACTCTCCTAGAGATAAGATGGTTGCTAGAGATAAGCGTAAAAAACAAGTCACCCACTAAGCCTGTATTAGGCATTATTGGGTTAGGCGGGGGTGTAATAAAGGTAGACATCAGTCTCCCCGTTGCCCCCTCCAAGGAGCTTAACATTCTACCTGGTGTTCCAGCACATACCCAGAAATACACTAGGGATATATGGAAATATTTTGCGTGCCAAATTCCACAGGCTTCACCTTCTCACTATTTGTAAATGCTCCATGTCTCACTTTTTCCTAAAGCCCGTCTGCCCAACAGCAACCCAAAGCCTCTTTATTTTCTAGGTCTAATCAAAACCAATCTGCTTCAGCATACCTCCTTAGTCCACTCCTGCTCTCACCTCTCACTGCTCCATTTTTGAACTCTTACAACACTTCGTAATTTAGTAATATTTAACTTTGTATTGTTACTTCATTTCATTTGCCTAAGACTTTACTAAATTGTAAGCTTCTAGAGAAAGGACTAAATTCTTTGCAATTTCCTTTTTATCTAACACAGTACAGGTATGCCACAAACTTCTAGGAAAAAATTCCCCTCTGGTAGGAATGTGTACCCTGGAAATACAGCGTGCTTTCGGTTTATCTTTGCTGGAATGCAGCGGCAGCACTGTGTATGTGGCTATGCAAAGGTAGTTAATATCCTATCACCCCTAGTTACTTCAACGAGTCTAATTTTCCAAAAACACAAGGTTAGCCTGAGGTTACTTCAGGTTTTCCATCTCTCAAGAGATCTGGAATAAAAATACTCAGATTACCAACAGGGCTCTGTAAACAGAAAAAGTTTAAAAATAAATGAGGTATACACCTTCGCTGGCTAATCAAGTAAACTCTCCCTTGAAAGGGGGGATTGATAGGTGTCAGGATTAAACAGATCTTTGTAGTACTTCAGTTTTCCAACTCCCATTTGTCCTCCTACCTATTAAAGGTGTAAAAGGGGTTGCAAGGGCACGCCTGCCCTCCCACCGCAGGGGGAGCCTGGGGACCCTGGGAGCGGCCGGCTGTGGCAAGGGGCAGCAGCGCCCCGCAGCCCCGGCTGGCCACAGCTGATTTGGGGCACGTGACGCCCGCGAGCCAATCCCGCAGAGCCAAGGCGGCCGGCGCGCGGCAGTGGCCGGGCCTCCTCCGACACAACAAACACCGGCAGGAAACAGCTGAGCGGGCGGCGGGCGCTGGGTCTGAGCGCGCTCTGCCGGGCCTTTGCGCTCAGGCTTGCAGGCATCCGAATTCCCAGGGTCCGGTACACTCGACAGCCTGCCCTAACAGTCACACCACGCCCTCCGCCAGGGGGCTGGGGGACCCCTCCCCGGCGTCCTCGCAGCCGCGGGCAGCCTCAGTTCAGGGGTCAAGTGGGGAGCAGCAGGGCAAGGCTGCGGACATTTACCTTGCGGGGGGAGAAAACGGAAGCAAGCACTTCCTCCTCCCTAAGGTAAATGCGACTAAGGCCGGTTCCTTGCTCATTTTAAGGAAGGGCCACGCCATGGCGTAAACATCGCCCAAACAACTCTCGAGTCGCGTTCGGACTTCACTCGGGAGCAGGAGACCGCACGCCCCCCAGGGGCGAGCCGAGGTCGCCGCTGAGCGGGCCGGGATGGGGGGCGCGGAGTGACCGCCGAAGGCAGCGCAGGCCTCCGCTGCGGGCGGGACCCCGGTGCGCGGCGGCAGAGCGCGCCCCGACCCTGTGGCGGGGGCAGCCGCCGGGTGGGGGCGAGGCGTGGGGTGGGGGTCGAAGGCCCAACAGTCCGTGGAGAGGAGACGCTGAGGCCTCGGGAGCGACGCGCAGGGGCTCTGAGCTGTGTCTTGAGGGGGGGCACCGCGAGACCACGGCGTTGGGACTGGGGCCTGAGAGGGCGAGGCTGCGGGTGGGGGCGCGGGGGCAGAGAGTCGCGGCTGTTGTTGGGCGGGTCACCCCGGCTGCGCGGCGGGGGCGGGCCGACGACGGCCGTCGCGCCTGGGCCTCACAAAGAGGAAACACCCAGCTCGACGGCCCGCAGTCCGGGCGTCAGGGGCCCACCGAGAGAGGGCCAGAGGCGGCCGCTCTGGGACCCTGAAGAGTGCAGGGAGAAGAATCACTTCCTGTCGCGGGCCCCCCGCCCCGGGCCCATTCCCGAGTGCTTCGTTGCCGCCAGACCCGAAGAGACTTCTCGCCCCCACCAGCCTCCGAACTCCGTCCTCGCCCGCGGCACTCACCCTAAGGGGCTGTGTGATCCGCGGCTCCCAGTGGCTGTGCTCTCCTCAGCGGGGATGAAGCCCCTGGCGACCCGAGTCTCCAGGTTTAGTCAGGCCCCGGCCTTGGCCCCGCCTCTCCCTGGTTGGGCCTCGGCGTCAATCACCCAGTGTATCCCCGCCCCCGCCAATGTCGGCTCTCCTGGTTGGCCAAAAACGTCCTTCATTTCTAGGCCCCGCCCCTCCCACCGGCACCCTGCCCCTTCCGCTGGGCCCCGCCCCTTTCCAGAATCACCCTCCCCCACTGCCGCTCCTCCTAGCTCCGTGGGCCCCCCCTCCCAGAAGCCGCACACCAGGGCCTGGTTTCTTGAAACTCGCCCCGCCCCTGACCCTACGCCTCGGACTGTACAGCCAATCAGAGAGGCTATCTCTGCCCCCTCTCCTGAGGCAGCCAATGTGGTGAGACTAGGATCCACCCTCCCCTTCCCAGCTGAGAGCACACAACACAGCATCCACGTGAGTCACCGTCTTAAAGGAGACTGCTCAGCCTTTGTAATTGTGGCAGCTGGGAGATATCGCGCGTCATCAGCGTCACCAGGTGGTGGCCAAGGCCTAGCCCAGTGAGGCCCAGTGATGACAAATGAAAACAACAAGCTGTTTTTCTAAACAAGACAGGTGCGTAAGTAGTTAAAATGCACCATGTAGTTAATTAATCTGAGACTACTTCTGCCTGCCACCTCTTAAAAACAGAGCTTTTACTTCGAAACCCCAAACCCTCTGAGACTGAGCACATAGGAACTCTTGAAGAACATCTGTGGGTAAAGGGGATTTTTCAAGTGTACCGACTTGGTTTACAACTTCCTGAGTTTTCTCTTGGTAGTGGAGGTGATTGTCAAAAGAAGAGAATCCCAAGAGTATTAGGAAATTCAGTCTTCTACGTGGAAATGCTCAGCCTCCACGGAGGTTTGTTTGTTGAAGAAAAAAGTAGCTGTTCCCTTAACCCTCATCAACAGGATTGAAGATTTTGTCTCATCCCATTAGAATTTTCCTGGTAGTTAATGGTATCTGGCTAACTTTCAGGATAAAGCATACATATTTGATGTTGCTTATGTCTCAGATTAAAAAAACAAAACAAAAAACTAGCCTTTGAGTTTAATTTGCAAGGTGTTTAAAGCTATCCTTGGTGGAATATGTGTTCTAAAGCAAACTCCTTTAGCAACCCAAATCCACCAGTATGTTCATTCAGTTCCAAAAGGTTAATCTGAACATCAAAGGCAAAATGACTAGTTATCTCTTGATGAGTTTTCCAAGAACTAAGGAGTTAAAAAAAATTTTTTTTCTTTAGTATTCCTTTGTTTGTAATTAGCTTTAATTACAAGAGTAATAACATGCTCATTGTAGAAGATCGTATAACCTCATTCCTTTGGAGTAAACACTGCCCTCTGCTACCAGCTCCATGTGTGTCCTTTTCTTCTTCCAGAAACATGTATGTACATGAAAGCATACTGTACTTTTTGTTCTTCATCCTACTTTTTTCACTCGGCAGCATGTTGTGGCCATCCTTCCATGCCAAATTTATCTCCCATCTACAAATTTACCTCTGTTTCTATAATTTTCCACAGTATGACTTCATTTTTAAAAAGAGATTATTACACGCTCTCTACAGTGTTAAGCACAACCCATTGCCGTCGAGGTGATTCCAACTCGTGGTGACCCTATAGGACAGAGTAGAACTGCCCCATAGAGTTTCCAAAGAGGGACTGGTGGATTCAACTGCCAACTTTTGGGTTAGCAGCCAACTCTTAACCACTGCACCACGAGGTCTCCTTAATTGTGCTAAGTGTATGTATGTATGGAGCCCTGGTGGCATAGTGGTTAAGAGCTATGGCTGCTAACCAAAAGGTTGGCAGTATGAATCCACCAACCGCTCCTTGGAAACCCTGTGAGGCAGTTCTGCTCTGTCCTGTATGGTCACTATGAGTTGGAATTGACATGATGGCAACAGGTTTGGTTTTGGTTTATATATATGTATATACATTTACACGTGTATATATATATTTATATATATATATATACATTCATTTACGTGTACATGTATATATATAACAAAACTTTTGCCATTTTAACAGTAACATCAATAAGGGGGCATAGAGTGTGAGGAACAGGAGCTCAGTGCCCCCTCGGCAGTGCGGACTGTACCAGCTGACACTGTCAGAGCAGTGACACCAAAATTACTGTCTATAAAAATATCCCTGTAGTTAGTTATAACAACAAAAACATTTTTCATAAGCCCAGCTTACACGTATCAATATACCTACAAGGCTAAAACTGTATGCTAATTTACTTTTTGAACCTTCTAATGTGCTCCAGTCAGAGCTGTCATTATTACCTGTCTTAGTCATCTAGTGGTGCTATAACAGAAATACCACAAGTGGATGGCTTTAACGAAGAGACATGTATTTTCTCACAGTCTAGCAGGCTACAAGTCCAAATTCAGGGTGTCAGCTCCAGGGGAAGGCTTTCTTTCTGTGTCAGCTCTAAAGGAAGATCCTTGTCATCGATCTTCCCCTGGTCTAGGAGCTTCTCCACACAGGGACCCTGGGTCCAAAGGATGTGCTCTGCTCCTGGTGCTGTTTTCTTGATGATATAAGACCCCCAACTCTCTGCTTGCTTTCCTTTCCTTTTATCTCTTGTAAGATAAAAGGTGGTGCAGGCCACACCCTAGGGAAGCTCCCTTTACATTGGATCAGGGGTGTGACTTGAGCAAGGGTGTTACATCCCACCCTGACATAATCGAATCTTGCCTTGTTAACCACAGGCAGAGGTTAGGATTTACAACATATAGGAAAATTATATCGATCAGAAAATGAAGGACAACCACACAATACTGGGGATCATGGCCTAACCAACTTGACATATATTTTGGGAGGACACAATTCAATCCATGACACTCCACCCTTATGACCCCCCCCAAGATTCATGTCTTTGCCACATGTAAAACATGTTCAACCCATCATATCATAGCAAAAGTCTTAAATCAAGTCCGAACTCCAAAAATTCCTCTTCATCTGTGAAATCTAGAGTACAAGTTATCTGCTTCCAAAGTACGAAGGTGGAACAGGCACAAGCTAGACATTTCCATTACAAATGAGAAATTGGAGGGAAAGAAGGGATAACAGGCACCAAGCAAGTCAGCAGAACACATTACATTAGCCCTCAAGGCTTGAAAATAATCCTCTGTTCTCTGAGACCATTTATACAATGGGCCTGCCTTCCAGACTCTAGGTATTGGCACACTGTCCGGATTCTGAGTGGGAGCCCCTTGGCCCTGGGCTTCAGCGCCACCTTCCACGCCCACTGGGACAGCAACTCTGCTCCCTCAGCTATAGGTGCACCATTCTCCTACTCCATCTGAGTGGTGACTCCACCCTTAGAAACACCAGAGGCCATGGTTTTCCCTTCGAAACCCCAGAGGTCGTGGCCATACCTTTCGAGACTGAGGCACCTTGGCTTCCTGTGTTCCTGTCTCTTCAGCTTCTGCTTCCCGATTCCTTGGCCTCTTAGCCTTCGGGCCTCATGCCCGCATCTGCCCTGCTGGAGCAAGTGTTCCAAAGCTCTGTAGCTCCACCAATAAGTGCCTGGAGGTACCCCACTCCACCGGTAAACTTCGGCTGGAAGGCAGTCTGCTCTCTTACTCTATGGGTCAGCAAGCCTAGCTCCACCAGTAAGTGCCCAGAGGCACCCCACTCTGCCAGGAAGCCTCCTGCACAAAGGCACTCAGCTCTCTGGCTCCATGGGTCGGCTCCAGCACTGTCTGGCTCTGGTTTCCTGGTTCTGCTGCTGCCGGTTCTCTGCTGCTTCTCACCATCTGTGCTGTCTCCGGTGTTAACAGTTCTCATCCCTTCCTTCTGAATCCTCTGTCTATTCACGGTTTCAAAACTGCTTCCTCATTTTATGTATCTGTTAGAGCAGCACCCTACTCTCACAGTACCAAATTCTGTCTTAGTCATCTAGTGGTGCTGTAACAGAAATACTGCAAGTGGATGGCTTTACCGAAGAGACATTTATTTTCTTACAGTCTAGCAGGCTACAAGTCCAAATTCAGGGTGTCAGCTCCAGGGGAAGGCTTTCTTTCTGTGTCAGCTCTAAAGGAAGATCCTTGTCATCGATCTTCCCCTGGTCTAGGAGCTTCTCAGCACAGGGACTCTGGGTCCAAAGGACATGCTCTCCTCCTGGTGCTGTTTTCTTGATGATATAAGACCCCCAACTCTCTGCTTGCTTCCCTTTCCTTTTATCTCTTGTAAGATGGAAGGTGGTGCAGGCCACACCCTAGGGAAACTCCCTTTACATTGGATCAGGGATGTGACCTGAGCAAGGGCATTACATTCCATCCTGACATAATCGAATCTTGCCTCATTAACCACAGGCAGAGGTTAGGATTTACAACATATAGGAAAATTATGTCAGAAAATGGAGGACAACCACACAATACTGGGGATCATGGCCTAACCAAGTTGACACATATTTTGGGGGGAGACAATTTAATCTATGACATTACCCAATTACAATGACACTTCAAATCATGTGGTTTCATCTGCATGTGCTACAAGCTTGCACTGTTGCTTTCATTGCTGCTGGTGTTTTTATAGTCACTGAGTCTGTCAAATTTTCTGGTGTTTTAGCTACAATATTGTGGTAATTAGCGTTTGTGAACCTATATTAAATTTTTTGAGAATGAAGTAGTAATTAAAGGAGAAGAAGGAGTGATATATGGGAATTATGATTTGCGAATAACATTAGTACCAAAAACATCACTAAGGATTCTGTATGGTCTGGTACGGGAGGAGGCCCATGGGGGGGGGGGTGACACGATGAGTTACTGCACTGAGTGACACCAACTCTAGTGACACCACTGCATTTTAACACTTTTACATGTGCAATTCAGTGACATTAACTATATTCCCCATGTTGTGCAACCATCACCACTGTTCATTTCCAAAGTTTTCCGTCACCCTTAACAGAAGCTCAGTGCCCCCTCAGCAGTGACTCCCTCTTTCCCCCGCCCTCCCCATATTTTATTAAACATTTCTTTACTGGTGGGTATGTAGGTTGCCTTCAATCTTTTGCTATTGAAAATACTGCTGTTTACACAGTAAATTCTTGTCA